AATACAATAAGAGAGCTCTGAGGGAAACATGGAGGTGCCGGTTTTGTGAACTGCGACCAATCACCGCACAGGGCGGGAATTTCAAACCTTGTGATTGGCTGTTTTTTTCTAGCGTAGTGAAGACATAAGAGAATTCTGAGGGAAACATGGAAACGCCGGTTTTGTGAACTGCGACCAATCACCGCACAGGGCGGGAATTTCAAACCTTGTGATTGGCTGTTTTTTTCTAACCAATCAAACGGGAGGAAATAGTGTATAAATACAGCGGGCAGCAGCGGCTGAGGTTAATCGTTGGTGATTCTTCGAGAAAGCAGTTCTTTTTGTCTCTCGTGCTCCTCTAGAAGGCCATGGCCCGTACCAAGCAGACGGCTCGTAAGTCAACCGGTGGGAAGGCGCCCCGCAAGCAGCTGGCAACCAAAGCCGCCCGGAAGAGCGCTCCAGCCACCGGAGGAGTGAAGAAGCCTCACCGCTACCGCCCGGGCACCGTGGCCCTGAGGGAGATCCGCCGCTACCAGAAGTCTACCGAGCTGCTCATCCGGAAGCTGCCCTTCCAGCGCCTCGTCAGGGAGATCGCGCAGGACTTCAAGACGGACCTGCGCTTCCAGAGCTCGGCCGTCATGGCGCTGCAGGAGGCCAGCGAGGCCTACCTGGTGGGGCTCTTCGAGGACACCAACCTCTGCGCTATCCATGCCAAGCGCGTCACCATCATGCCCAAGGACATCCAGCTCGCCCGTCGTATCCGCGGGGAGAGGGCTTAAGTTTCAGGCCTTTGAATCCAGTCCTCGTCTGAAAGAAACATTCCAAAAGGCTCTTTTAAGAGCCACCACATGCTCTCAAAAAGTGCTGAAAATTGCAGGTTTAATTTCATTACAAATATTACACGGCATTTCTGACATACTTTTAGATGCTTACCTCAGGATAAAACTTAATACATTTCAGTGGCTTTATATTAATTTATCCTCCTTAACCGTTGCAGTGCTTGCAGGCAAACCAGAATCCTTTCGAATTTCCCGCGCTGTAACTTGATTGGTCAGTTCCCGATCCCGCTTTATTTTCATCCAATCAGCGCAGTGATAAATGTCACTTATTCACCTGATCTTGCTGAAGCATGTTATAGGCAGAGTATACAAACCTTCCAAATGATAGGCTCTCCGTAGGCAGAAAAATGACGAAACATTTTGGGGATGTATCTACACTGGAATTAATGCAGTTTGATACCCTTTTAATTCTTATGGCTCAATGCAATGGAATGCTGTGAGGTGGAGTTTTTCAAGGTCTTTGGCTTTCTCTGCCAAAGAGTACAGACTACAGCTCCCAGGATTCCATAGTACCGAGACATTAAAATTAAATTGGTATCAAACTGCCTTAATTCAACATTGTAGACACACCCTGTGCCATTTCAAAAGTAGCTGAAAAAGCAGGATAACAATTTATTGGGAAATCTGAAATCAACACAGTTGGAGCATATGTCTTCATGGATGAACATAAATACAAACAATTTTCTTCCTTTTCAATTATCTACTTTGGCCCATCTACTCTGCCATATAATACAGTTTAAAACTGATGGTTGTGATGTTGGCATGCTTTTGAATGTATGGTCCCACCTACAGTGCCATGTAATGGTAGTGTAGATGGGGGTCATATATTAATAAACATGCAACGATATCACAATGCATAAAAGAGTTTTAAATTCAGTTTAATAAATGCCAATAAATAATACTGAGCCATGTTGATTTGAATGGTGGACAATGGAGATTAGGGCTAAAATCAAATCCCTGCTTTGACATGAAAACTCACTGGGAAAATCACACTCTCTCTTAGCCTCAAAGAAAAAAATGGGAAACTTGGGTTGCTGTGAGTTTTCAGGCTCTCTATGGCCATGTTCAGAAGCATTCTCTCCTGATGTTTCGCCTACATCTATGACAGACATCCTCAGAGGTTGTGAGATCTGTTGGAAACTAGACAAGTGGGATTTATATATCTGTGGAATAATGTCCAGGGTAAGAGAAAGAACCTTTGTTTGAGGCAAGTGTGAATGTTGCAAATGGCCACCTAGACTAGCAGTGAATAGCCTTGTGGCTTCAAAGCCTGGCTGGTTGCTGCCTGGGGGAATCCTTTGTTGGGACGCAGCACCCAAACATGAATCAAGGAACATGAAAGGCACTGTTGACTAATTCAACCAGAGAAGCCAACCATAGCAGAGCACCTGATGGACCAACCTGGACACAGCATATTATTTGAGAACACAAAAATGCTGGACCACTCTCACAACCACCATGTCAGGCTACACAGAGAAGACATTGAAATACATAAGAAGCATGTGGACAATTTCAACAGAAAGGAGGAAACCATGAAAATAAACACAATCTAGTTACCAGTATTAAAAAAAAACCCTCTAAAGTCAGGATAGTAAATAAAGAGCAACAATTGGAAGAGAAGGGAATTCCAGACAAGAAACAATCAGGGCCAGCAAACACCTCCCAACAAAGGATTTCCCCTGGCAAGAAGCAGGTCTGACTTTGAAGCTGCAAGGCCATTCAATGCCTTTTATGCCTAGTTATATGTTATTGGTTTGTGTTTTTGTTTAGGTATGTAAGGCATTGAATTTTGCTGTTATTTTTGTATAAAACACTTTGAATCTCCCCAGGGGTGAGAAAAGCCATGTATAAATATTGTAAATAAATAATCAAGCTGGCCAATGGCAACATTCACACTTGCCTCAAACAGACGAGAGTTCTCTCTCCCAACCTGGACATTGTTCCACAGATATGTAAACTCCACTTGCCTAGTTTCCAACAGAACTCACAATCTCTGATTATGCCTCCCATAGATGTGGGTGAAACGTCAGGAGAGAATGCTTCTGGTACATTAACATACAGCCCGGAAAACTCACAGCAACCAAGTGATTCCAGTCATAAAAGCCTTCGACAACAGAATGGGAAACGTTTTCTGAATTAAACCATGCCACAAAACCTGTGTGGTAAATCCACCTTAGGGTCTGCATAGGTCATAGGCCCATAACAACAGCAAGAACCATCACTACTGAATGAAGGGAGACAAAGGACTATTTGAGAGGTGGGGTCTTTACAGTGGATGCACCTTATCTATGGAAAGCTCCCCTTCGTAAAGGTCACCTTCAAAAAATTCACCTGGTACCTACCTTGCATCTTAGTATATTGCAATAGAATGAATGTGGAAAAAATGATGAGGAATGCAATAGACAAGGCACGGGCAAACTTGGGCTCTCCAGTGTTTTGGACTGCAACTCCCAGCATTCCTAACAGCCTCAGGCCCTTTCCTTTTCCCCCTCAGCCGCTTAAGCGGCTGAGGGGGAAAAGGAAAGGGCCTGAAGCTGTTAGGAATGCTGGGAGTTGCAGTCCAAAACACTGGAGAGCCCAAGTTTGCCCATGCCTGGTGTATCCGCACTGTAGAATTACTGCAGTTCAATCCCACTTTCATTTCAATGGCTCAATGCTACTGAATCCCAGGAGACCATTAGACCTTTCTGCCAGGGCTTCACCAAACTACAACTCACAGGATTCCATAACATTGAGACATTGAAAGGAAAGTGGACTCGAATTGCAGTAACTCTACAGTGTGGATGCATCCCTGAAATAAGAGTTGAATTCCAGATCCTTCTGTCAGATCCTTCTCCTGTCCCAGTAACTGTTTCCTTTGTGGGAAATCCAACATTTGATAAAGGAAAGGAAGCAAAGTATCTTTATTGATTGTCTCCAAGGGAAAAAAGAATCTCATAAACAGGTGTGCTACTTGACTCAATTCAGCAAGGGATTGCTGCAAAACTATCAGGTGAAAACCCTCCCTTTCTTCACTGACTAGAAGTCAACCCTCCTGGGTACATTCCTCAATACCTGCCATAGCCCTGGGTTTAAAGCCGAATTTGCTATTTGCACCGAAAGCCAAAAGTTTGCACATTTTTAGCTGGAAAGAATAATGAGAGGCTGTGTTTCTTCTCCTTTCCCTGGCTCATTTTATCACTCTTCGGCTTGCAAATTGGGTCCCAGCCAAGCTCACTTTCCCCTTATGGATCCCTCCAAGATTTGGCAGAATCCGTAAAAAGAATTTTTAATAATTAGCATTTTTGTGCTGATGAAGAAACACAAAAAAAGTTGCCTGGACCCAAAGAGCTTGGTTCTGGAGCCGGTCTGCAAACCTTGACAGAAACGGACCAATCAGAGCGCGGATGGAAATAGAGAACCAATCAGAGCGCGGCTGGAAAAGAACCAATCGGAGCGCAGCATCTCGCCTATAAATACCAGGCCCCCGCGCTGCTTTTGTTTTCAGTTCGACGTTTCCTTCGAAGACTACAGACAGGTATCAGGATGGCAGAAGTAGCACCAGCAGCGGCGGAGACTTCGGCGGCTCCCGCTCCCAAGGCGGCGGCGAAGAAGGCAGGAGGAGCCGCTAAGGCGAAGAAGCCTTCGGGTCCCAGCGTGACTGAGCTGCTGACCCAAGCGGTGACGGCTTCCAAGGAGCGCGGCGGGATTTCCCTGGCCGCTCTGAAGAAATCTTTAGCGGCTGCTGGTTACGATGTGGAGAAGAACAACAGCCGCATCAAGCTGGGTCTCAAGAGCTTGGTGACGAAAGGCACTCTGCTCCAGACCAAAGGCACCGGCGCTTCAGGCTCTTTCAAGCTCAACAAGAAGCAGGGCTCTGAGGCCAAGGAGAAGAAGGCCGCCCCCAAGAAGAAGCCTGCTTCCGCGGCTGCCAAAGCCAAGAAGCCTGCGGCCAAGAAAGTGGTGAAGAAGGCTGTGGCAGCTAAGAAACCCGCTGCCAAGAAAGTCGCCAAGAAGCCCGCGTCGGCTGGAGGAGCCAAGAAAGCGGCTGCCAAGAGCCCCAAAAAGTCCAAGGTGACCAAGCCTAAGAAGACCATCAAGAGCCCCGCCAAAGCTCTGAAGCCCAAGGCGAAAGCCAAGCCCAAGACCACCAAGCCTAAAGTCGCTCCCAAAAAGAAGTGAACTCCATACTCCTTGCCAAAAGGGTTCACCTTTTTACCACAACGGCTCTTTTAAGAGCCACCTAAAGATTCCCAGAAGGGATGAAATCACTTTGATGTTCCTTACTGGGGACTAGCTGCTTAGATTATGTTGAAGGCTTTCATGGCAGGGATCACTGGGTTGATGTCCCGTTTTCTTGCCCATTCCTACTGAGGCCGAAGTGCTGAGGGCTTTCATGGCCAGAATCACAAGGTTGAGTTTTCTGGGCTGTCTGGACATGTTCCAGAAGCATTCTCTCCTGACGTTTCAGCCTCGGGTTGAGAGGTCTTGAAAACTAGGCAAGTGGGGTTTAAATATTTGGAATGTCCAAGGTAGGGGAAAACTTGCCTGTTTGAGGCAAGTGGGAATGAAGCAATGGGCCGCCTTGATTAGCACTGAATGGCTTTGTAGATTCAAGGACTAGTTGCTTCCTGCCTGGGGGAATCCTTTGTTGGGAGGTGTTAGCTAGATGAATCCTGTTGGGAGGTGTTAGGAGCCCCCGGTGGCACAGTGGGTTAAACCCTTGTGCCGGCAGGGCTGAAGACCGACAGGTTAGAGGTTCGAATCCAGGGAGAGTGTGGATGAGCTCCCTCTGTCAGCTCCAGCTCCCCATGTGGAGACATGAGAGAAGCCTCCCACAAGGATGGTAAAACATCCGGGTAATGTCCTCTGGGCAAACGTCCTTGCAGACGGCCAATTCTCTCACACCAGAAGCGACTTGCAGTTCCTCAAGTTGCTCCTGACACACACAAAAAGTGTGAATGTTGCAATTGGCTACCTTGATTCGAATTGAATAGCCTTGCAGAAGACTAAACTCAAAACAGGAGAATTTCTGATAGTTTTCTGTCTGAAATTCTCCTGTTTTCTGAGTTTAGTCTTCTGCAAGGCTATTCAATGCTAATCAAGGTTGTTCATTCGTTCAGTCGTCTCCGACTCTTCGTGACCTCATGGACCAGCCCACGCCAGAGCTCCCTGTCGGCCGTCACCACCCCCAGCTCCTTCAAGGTCAGTCCAGTCATTTCAAGGATGCCATCCATCCAATTGCAACATTTACACTTTCCTCAAGCAGACAAAGAGTTCTTTCTCCCACCCTGAACATTATTCCACAGGGATATAAACCCCACTTGCCTAGTTTCCAACAGACCTCTCAACCTCTGAGGATGCCTGCCATAGGTGTGGGTGGAACGTCAGGAGAGAATGCTTCTGGAACATGGCCATGCAGCCTGGAAAAGTCACAGCAACCCAATGCTCTTTAGACTATATTTTTAAAAGCTGGGATGCTTCATGGTATCTAGAAATTCCTGAGTCCCAACAAATTGGGATTCTCAGGATTTGCAGAAATTGAATTTTTGGTAACTATATAAATAAAATACCCCATTCCTAGAGTTAAAATCCCACTATGGGAGCAAAATGTGGGAAGTCATTTCTGGGAAAGGCAAATACCTTGAAATATAGGATATGGGGTGGGATGAGATGCTTTTTTTAAGGGTTCCACATCCATCCATCTGGCATTGATGATTGGGTCCCTTCCCCTTCCATTCTGAGCATTTAAAAATAATGTGGACCGACGAGGATGGGATTCGAACCCACGCGTGCAGAGCACAATGGATTAGCAGTCCATCGCCTTAACCACTCGGCCACCTCGTCAGGTGTTCCGGTCCAATCTCACCTTTTTTTCCTAGTTCCTTTTACAGCAGCAGAAGAAAATATGTCCTGAATAGAGATGAGCTAAGAAATGGATACCCACACTGGCATCAGTAACTTTGGACCATTTACTCCTAGAGATTTTTCACTTTTGGACCAGAGCTGTTTGGATCCAAGTGTGAAAAAGTGCAAAGCAAGCATGGATGTGATGCTGCAGCCTCTCTTTTTTTTTTTTGCAAAGCACCATTTCTCATTTCTACTAATAACTCAAGTAAAGCAATAATATTCTGCCTCATTCTCTTAATGCGGCAATTAGAAGCATAGGATCAATATTGGAGGAAAGAAATAATCACACAAAAGAGGAAGACCTAATAAACTATCTATCTATCTATCTATCTATCTATCTATCTATCTATCTATCTATCTATCTATCTATCTATATTAAAAATGCTCTGTGCATAATGAGTACCTTAAAAACAAAAGAACCAATGAATGAAATCACACCAAATTTGGCAACAAAACATCTCACAACACAAGGAGTGACCATCACTCAAAAAATTATGATTTTGTCATTTGGGAGTTGTAGTTGCTGGAATTTATAGTTCACCTACAATCAAAGAGCATTCTGAACTCCATCAACGATGGAATTGAACCAAACTTGGCACACAGAACTCCCATGACCAACAGAAAATACTGGAAGGGTTTGGTGGGCATTGACCTTGGGTTTTGGAGTTGTAGTTCACCTACATCCAGAGAGCACTGTGGACTCAAACAATGATGGATCTGGACCAAACTTGGCACAAATATCAATATGCCCAAATGTGAACACTGGTGGAGTTTGGGGAAATAGACCTTGACATTTGGGAGTTGTAGTTGCTGGGATTTATAGTTCACCTACAATCAAAGAGCATTCTGAACCCCACCAACGATAGAATTGGGCCAAACCTCCCACACAGAACCCCCATGTGAGCCACAGCAACGCGTGGCAGGGGACGGCTAGTCTATATAAATAAAAATGTAATGTTCGTTTGTGGGATTAGAACTCAAAAACCACTGGGGGAATGGACACCAAATTTGGACACAATACCCCTAACAGACCAACAAGTGACCATCACTCATAAAAAAAAACCCCAAACAGCAGAAAGGACTTAAAAACCCAAAAAAGCTAAATGACATACAGAAAAAAATTGAAAGAAGAGGGAGGGAAGGAAGGAAGGGGAGAAAGAAAGAAAGAAAGAAAGAAAGAAAGAAAGAAAGAAAGAGGGAAAGAAAGAAGGAAAGGGAGAAGAAAATGGAAAGAAGAGGAAGTAAGGGAGGGGAGAAAGAAAGAAAGAAGCATGGAAGCAAAGAGCAAAGGAAGGAAGGAAAGAGGTAGAGAAGGAAGGAAGGAGAGAAAGTAGTAGGAAAAGAAAAAGGGGGGAAGGAAGGAATGAGGTAGAAAAGGAAGGAGAGAAAGAAAGGAAGGAAAGAAAGAAAGAAAGGGGGAAGGAAAGAAAGAGAGAAAAGGAAGAGAGAAGGAAAGAGAGAAGGAAGGGTGGAAGCAAAAAGCGAAGGAAGGAAGGAAAGAAGGAAGGAAAGAAGAAAACAGAAGTAATAAAGGAAAGAAGGAGCAAAGGAAGAAGGGAAGAAGGAGAGAAAAAGGAGGGGGAAGGTTGACCACAGCAATGTGTAGCGGGTACAGATAGTCTATATAAATAAAAATGTAAGTTTATTTTCTGGGATTAACGTAACTCAAAAACCACTGGACGAATTCCCACCAAATTTGGCCACAAGACTAACCCAAGAAGTGACTATCGCTCAAAAAAATCGATCTTTTCATTTGGGAGTTGTAGTTGCTGGGATTTATAAAGAGCATTCTGAACCCCACCAATTGGAATTGAACCAAACGTGGCACACAGGACTCCCATGACCAACAGAAAACACTAGAAGGGTTTGGTGGGCATTGACCTTGAGTTTGGGAGTTGTAGTTCACCTACTTTCAGAGAGCATTGTGGACTCAAACAATGAAGGATCTGGACCAAACTTGGCATGAATACTCCTTATGCCCAAATATGAACACAGATGAAATTTTGGGGAAATAGACCTTGACATTTGGGAGTTGTAGTTACTGGGATTTATTGTTCACCTACAATCAAAGAGCATTCTGAACCCCACCAATGATTGAAACTTCCCATATAGAAAATACTCAAGGCCATCCAGTCCAACTCCCTTCACCAGGGCAAAAAAATGTAATCAAAGCCCTCCTGACAAAGAGCCATCCAGCCATAGATATAGATAGATATGATTCACACACAGAGAGATATAATATCATAGATTTTATATCTTGCCTGTTCCAGAGTAGGCAAACCAGACACTCTCCACATCAACACTGACAAGGAAACAGCAAGAAATACTGTTTAACCTCAAGCATAAAGAAATTACATATATTAGAAACCAACGCTTTCTCATTACTTTATTTTCCAGATCACCAGACTGGGCCACAGCAACACCTGGCAAGGGACAGCTAGTATTTTTAAATTTCCATACCGTGTTCTCATGTCGCTTCTTGGCAGCGAGTTGGACTGGATGGCCTTATGAGGTCTCTTCCCATTACATTTTTGTTTATATACTAGCTGTCCCCTGCCACGCATTGCTGTGGCCCAGTCTGGTGATCTGGAAAATAAAGTAATGAGAAAGTGTTGGTTTCTAATATATGTAATTGCTTTATGCTTGTGAGTAAACAGTATTTCTTGTTGTTTCTTTGTCAGTGTTGATGTGGAGAGTGTCTGGTTTGCCTACTCTGGAACATGCAACATATTGTCCTTCTTTAAGGGTCCCTTTCAAATCTATCATATTATATTTCTCTCTGTGTGAATCATATCTATCCATCTCTCTATATGTATGACTGGATGGCTCTTTGTCAGGAGGGCTTTGATTACGTTTTCTCACTCTGATGAGGGGAGTTGGATTGGATGGTCTTAAGCATTTTCTGTTGCTCATGGGGGTTCTGTGTGGGAAGTTTGCCCCAATTCTGTCATTTGTGGGGTTGAGAATGCTCTTTGATTGTATGTGAACTATGAATTCCAGTAACTACAACTCCCAAATGTCAAGGTCTATTTCCCCCCAAACTCCATCGGTGTTCATATTTGGGCGTATTGAGTGCTTGTGCCAAGTTTGGTCCAGATCCATCATTGTTTGAGCCCACAGTGCTCTCTGGATGTAGGTGAACTACAGCTCCCAAACTCAAGGTCAATGCCCACTAAAGCCTTCCAGTATTTTCTGTTGGTCATGGGGGTTCTGTGTGGGAAGTTTGCCCCAATTCTGTCATTTGTGGGTTTCAGAATGCTCTTTGATTGTATGTGAACTGTGAATCCCAGTAA